CTTGAGTTTTTGAGTTCTTCCTTTTCTTTTCATCTATTCTCTTGCTCAGCTGCATTATACTACTTTCGGTCCTTAATATAAGATCTTATTTGACTTTTATTTTGGTTCTAAATATAAGACCCCAGTCTACTTTGTCTCTCATATTTATGTATATTTTTTTCAAAATAGCTCTTCTAACAATGATAGTTCTCGTCAATATACTTGATTAGTGAGGATATTTGAGGAAAAACAACACCTATTTATGACAAATAACTAATTCAACTTACTTCCTTAATCTCTTCAAATTAGTCAACTGGCTCTTATAATTAGAACCGAAGGTAGTATATTTTTACTTTTCTGCTCTTTGTTTCTTGCAAGAAGAGTTGGTTTAATTCTCAGGAGTTGCTGCATTAATTATTGTTGTGTGGCAGAATAATAAGGACAATGTCCTTGGGTACAACTTGAACCAAATATATCTTTGCATGGCAACCCCAATAGAAGAGAGAAATAATGATAATTTTGAAACTTTGATGATTATTAGTCAACAAATCGTAGAACACACAAGCCCCAAACTCTTAAGATTACACATGAGGTGAGAACATATGTTAGCTTTCTTTTTTTAAATGAGGATTAAATTTAACACTCTTTCACACTTTCAACACATTGATAAATAGAACCTCAACTAAGTGAGATGAGTTTAATTAATCCCCTCTAACAAAATTGCATGGTTCGAGTCGTGCCCATTTTCAACTTCAATGAATTAACCTAATAGGTAGCTAGCTACCCTTCAAGTATTTATTATTACATGGTTTAGAGAAGAGGGTGATTAATTATACAGCTTGCTGGGAGAGTGGACATACATGTGAATATGCTTAGGTCGACCCCAGAAAATACCTAGGTACGAGAAATCAAATGAAGACCATACAAAAACACACACACACACACACATATTGATGTTTTTTGGTTGGGAGCTCGCTAGGCATATGAAGACATTTTATTCAGGATTCCCAAATCAATAAAGCTGCTAACAAACACAAACTATTAAGTTACTCATTGTATGTATACGGCCGCCCTAGCTGTGATGAATTGTATTGTCTCGTTAAGGCCAAACAAGCTTAGCCTCTTCTCACTTCATCTTATTATTCATATCATCCCATCATTTATTAGTAAATACGTACGAGAGAGAGAGAGAGAGAGAGAGAGACTGAAACATATACGTACGTACAGAAGGAAGGAAAGAGACAAAGAAGATAGAAGAAGAGACCCAAAAGCTTTCAGCCCCATCTCGTAACTTTGCTTCAGTTTTAAAGGAAGAGGACAAAGATACAAATGGCGATGGAGGCTATTTTGGGAAATTGGATCTCGCCGATACTGACGCTTCTTCAAACCCTGCTTTGGATGCCTCCTTCGTTTTTAACTTTTTCACGCAAAGCAAAGCCTATAGATTTCTCGCCTTTTACTTTCTTTCATTCTAACCACTCACACGTTATTTATTCACTTCAATAATCTTTATGGATTATTAATTAATATTAAAATCGAATAATCAATAATAAATCATCTCTCTTTACCATTTTATTTGGTGAAATCATATTCCTTCTCTCCTCTTTGACCAAAAAAAGAATATCCCTCTCCTCTATGGATATTTAAATTCTTTTAGTTTTGAAGCATAAACAAATTCAGGTACTTATCTTAAACTATGCAATGAATTAATTACTTTCACCTTAATACATGTGCACACACACACACACACCCCAATAATGAAAGTATATGAAATGCATGCATAACCTAGCTGATCTAACTCCAGCTTCGGAATTAAGGGTTTTGAACAGATCAATCAACTTAAATTTTATTTTATTTTTACTCTCCTTAATGATCCTGAAATGATGTTATTTCGAGTTAAAAAAAAAGAAGAGCTCATCATATTTGTGCTTTAATAACTCCATTTAACTAGATTATGTAGGATTTATATATGAACATAAACTAATACTTTCTGGTGTTTATATGTTTTAATTTGATCTTGAATTGATCTCAATTTGAACTATTGAATCTAAACTACTCCTCCGGTCCTTAATATAAAACCCATTTAACTAATTTGATTAGATTAAATAAGTTAGGTAAATTAGTAAATTATAAGAAATGTGACACGTTTTTCTTAAAATACCATAATCATCTTTCTTAATACCCCTTCTTCCTCTTCTACTTGATTATAGTTGAAGGAGTATTCATAAGGATAATTTAGAGAAAATTGATAAATATAAGAAATGGGTCTTATATTTATGATCAAAACCAACTTAACAATTGGGTCCTACGTACGTTAAAGATTGGAGGAGTATTATATCTCATCAGCTGATTCAATCACTGGTTAATTTTTAGTACCTTATGAACAAGAAACTAATATGATGTATAATTCTTGACCAAAAAAGAAGATATAAATTGTAACAAAAATAAACAATTTTCGTTTTTAAAAAAATGATAAAAGTAAAAACATGAAAAAGAAGGTCAAATGTAAATTTGGTTGGGAGGGTAAGTAGGGTCCAGAAATGAAGAGCGTGAGATGTAGTAGTGGTGGTCATCAACGAAAGTCGCAGTGTCCTACATTACGAGAAGTTTGAATCATTATGTCCCTAACATTTTCTTTTTTTCTCATCTGTCAGCTGACTTCCCTTTTCCCCCTCAAAATCACACTCTTATCCTTTCTTATTTTCTTATATTTTCTTTAATAATTTTTATTTACATTTTGTGAACTTTGCATTTCAGTAACTAACTGTCCCCAGCATCTTCACCCAAAAAAAAAAAAAAAAGAAAAAAAACCAAAAAACAAAGTGTCCTCAACACGCTTTCATCTTTGGCTTTTTCCCTTTAACCTTCCAAGTCTTAACATCTTTTATATATATACACTTTTTGTCAACAATGACCGTTCAATAGATTAGAAAAGTTCCATGATACCTAATTACTTAGCCATATATATAGTATTGTATCGCATTGTCTTGCCTAGTGAGATTGAGTATTAATTAAACACTATCATATTAATTTAAAGTAATTAAATTTGACTAACTAGATTTAATTATTTATGAAGTTGCATTACCTAGCTAATTCAGATGTCATTAACTTTAAAGATACTACTCCTCTGCTCAGAGACGAAATATTAATTTTGATTTTATTTATAAGTCACATTATTATATACAAGTAAAATTAAAAAGCTATATGATTCTGAAATTTAGGATTTTTCTTAGTTTCAGTAAAGCATATTGAAAATGACTCATAAATAAAATTAAAAACAACTTCTTAAGTATATTATTTTTCAGTTGAAGCGAGATGTGCATGTTTTTCTTTTTCTCGGCCAGAGAGGTGTATGGTTCAATGAAAGGATTCTTCTCCCCTACAGGGAGGTGTAGACCAAGGGAAAAGTAGATAGAATTTCAACGTTGGAAGTTAATATATTGTTTGATACGACTTGGCCAAAAAGAAGTTAATTTGTACTCGGACACGTAATTTTTCTCAATACTTTATCTAGAAGGATACAAAATAAAAATAAAAATAAAATGTGGCCGGCCGGCTAGTATTGGAGTTGTCTTTCGTAATTCAAATCTTAATTAACGAAACACAAACACACACACACACATTGAAAATTAAAAAAAAATTTATATAAAAAAATCATTTTCATGGAACCCATCTACGTTTTACTGAAAGGACTTTTCTCATAAAAAAATATTATTTTCATATTATATCTTTCAATATAATTGCGCATTAATATTAATTCCTAGTCGGACATGCAGCCTGTCCCACTGCGTGATGGGAAGAAAATTAGGGAGAAAATTAAAGAGTAATAATGAAAATTCTCTAAAATGGTAATTTTTTTTTAACTATTTTTAAAATTTTTCTTTCCTACTATTTCCTTCATTATTTTTCTTATAATTTTCTTTTCCTTCCACCATCCAAACATGGTCATAGTTTCAGTCAATAGTTTAATTTTTTTTTTAAAAAAAACAAACTAGCAGCAGCAAGGACAATTTGGAAGGACTGCCACGAGAGAGAAATAGGAAAAATGAAGGGCATCCTAAAATGAAAATTGAATAAAACTTAATCTCATTAAATTACCACTCTATTTCTTATTATAAGTCACTTGTATCCCAAACCTGCAAGCTAAGAAATACATTAAATTAATCAATTTTTTTTTCACATTTACCCTTATTAAAAGTTGTGTGAGAGAGAGAGAGGGAGGAGACAGATTGCATAGAAAATGAAAAGTTGAGAGAGAGAGATTGAGAGGGACAGGAACATATTTCGATGAGCTATTATTTCAGGCTTAAATTAATTAATTTTTTTATTAAATTAATAGGGGTAAAATTGGAAAAGAATCATTAATTATACTACAAGTAATTTATATTTTAAAACAAATTTTTAGGATACAAATAACTTATAATAAAAAACATACTGATAATTCTTAATGGTAATTAATAATCATTACTGCTAACTTGGTTGGTTGCTTTTTCCATGGTCCTTTCATGTCATTCAACCTTCTTCATCGGAATGCTCATAATCAAATAGCCCAAATATGAGTGCAGAAAGAAGCAGCAAGCCAAGGCCAAACACATAATTGACACAAAAGTTAAAAAAATAATGATGACCATATCTCAAAAGAAGTAAGCTTCAGCTGCACATAAGAGAATGATCAACATAATCATACAATATCTCATATCCACATGACCCTCATCTTCAAATGATTGCCAATTCTTTCACAACAATAATAATTATATATATAATTAAATACACTGTACTCATATATTTTTAGATAATTAAGCCTCCAACACCCCCCAATATGGTGAACAAAAAAATTGGGAAAAAAAACCCAGATAAACGAGATCATAAAGAGTAGGCCAAAAAAAGAAAAAGAAAAAGAAAACCCTAGAAATTACAAACCCAACTGTAAGAAGAATTCAATACAAACATATATCATATATGATTTTCTTGGTAATTTGTGGGATTCTGAAGGGTCGTCTTCTACACAAAGGGCTAAAAGGTCACCTGTTTGAAATAGGGTTTGGACCACTTGGGACTTCATGTTCACTGTCGTTGAAGCTTATTGTCCGGTGCGAAGACGTCAGAACAGGAGAGCGACGTCGTTTTTGGCGTTGATGAGGTGGAGCATGAATGGTGTTGCAGTTGCAGGGATTATCGGGTGGAGGAGGAGAAGAAGAAGGAGAAGGAGGTGGAGGCATAATGTTAGAGGAAGAGTGAAGAAGGAGGAGAGAGCGAGAGGTAGAGAAAGAAAAGAAGATGAAGAAGAGAGAGAAGAAGAAGAGGAGGGTGATGGAGTGAGGAGAAGAAGAAGCCGCCATGCATGAAATAAGAAGGAAGGAAGAATCATGCAGAGAGAGGGAGGTGGGTAGCTAGGGTTAAGAGAGAGATCAAATTGTTTAATGGCTGATGAAAGCTAAGTCGGGGAGAGAGAGAGAAGAGTGGGGAAGAAGATACCTTGCAGGGTTTGTTATAAGGGAAAAGGAAGTTCAAATTAGAAAGCTGGGTTAGAGAGAGAGAGAGAGAGAGAGAGAGGAAAAGCAGGAAAGCAGAAAATGGCGGAGTGGCTCTTTAACCATGTCTGGCGCCAGGTGCATAACTTTATCAAGTATATGTTCTGTCGTCATGCCGGTGAAAATATGTACAATAAAATCTTGTGTTCCTCACATTTAATTTATACAAAATTAATTTTGGGAATTTTTCATTGGCAGAATGACAGAAAAAAAGTTAAAAATTACAAATCCCAAATGAGATTTGGTAACACAACTTTATTTGATATTGATAAGTTTGAATTTACAAATGACATCAAATTTTTGTTGATATTCCTTGTTTAGCATTTATAAAATTCCAGTTTTTTTTTGTTATTGTGCCTTTTCCATTTCCATAATTTATTTTTTTAATAAAGAATGTATTACACGGTTTATTATCAATTTTGTTGAATTATTAACAAGCCCAAAAAATGGATATTTGCAAAAATGCAACCATTCTCATGTAATCTACTATGAAAATTTTTGAATATGTCAGTTCTTAACCACTTAACCAAGAAGCTGGCCAAAAAAGAAAAGAAGAAAAACACTCAACCAAGAAAAATTAATTTCTTCATTTAAATAGTCTTAGAATTGAATAAGTTTTCACAAAAACTCAGGTGGAAATTGCAATGAGGCCATTTCTGAAAAAATGCAATATCAGATGCTCCAAAAACTCATGCAAACTGACACATGTTTATGACTTCAAAATTTCTTTTACAACATGACTAACATTTACTATTAGAGGAAGCAGTATGTTTTACTTGCAAAATTTTTTATGAATGCATATTTAAATTGTTATTTTTAGGTAAAAATTTTAAAAATAATTTAGCTGCAAATTAAAAATGAAGAAATTAATGAGCAGAAACGATCACATGAAACATTATATGAAGACAAAATTGTCCTTACGGAGCATGAAGAGAGAGAGAGATATATATATATATATATATATCTCACATGGTTTTCACGGAAGTTTATGATTAGAGTATGCTAATATGAATATTTGTAAATGTCGAAAGAAATTTTTTTAAATGAGGATAAATTTAAATTTTTTTATCATTTTAATGTATTCCTTTATATAAGAGAATAAATTACAAATAAATAATAATAATAATAATAATAATAATAATAATAATAATAATAATAATAATATTCATTGTACCTTCTCCTGAAAATTCGAACTCGCAGTCTCGTAACCCTTAAAGTGTTTGGTAGGATTTATTGAAAAATATTGGAGAAAGAGATGCATGAGAAAGAGGGAGAAAGGAGGAGACAGAGGCCACCTAACACAAATAGCATTTTCTGGAATTTTGCCATGCTCACGGACACGCTCCCTGCAGCCCACCTAACAACCATCTCTTACAATTATACTATCTCACTGTCACTCCTCCGTTAACATATATATATAGTACTGCCATTGCATGATCTGTATTAACCTTTTTTTTTTTTTTTTTACCTTTGTAGCATTGGCAACTGAGGTTAAACTCTGTCCGCAGTAACACTTACATGAACTTGTAACACTCTCAAAATCTTTCCCATCGTCTTCATATCGTTCAGTTTTTACTAGAATCAGAGTCTGATATCACTTGTTAAGCTCGAATAGCATCCCAAAAGATGAGAGGGCACGGAGGTGCACACAAGTGGACACGACACCACATCTTAATCCGTTCAGATTAAATCAAAATTTTAAGATATTGAATATATTTTCATTTATAATTGTATACATTTTTTCTAATTCAATTCTACTTGATATGAGGTTTCTCTTCACTCCAAGCCAAATTCACTGGTGTTAAACATCTTGAAGATGTACTTTATTGGTCCTATTTATAAGTTATTTTTAGCATATTTTATATATACTAAAAAAAATCTTATACTGTATTAACTTTTCGTTAAAATATAATAATTTTTTAACTTTACTCTTATTTAATACATACACATTTTAAACGAAAATTATCTATACTATAATAAATAAAGGATAAACTAATATTTTCATATATAAAAATTTAATAAAATGATTTATAAATGAAAACAATCACGAAATTTTTTTTAATTGGGTTTATAAATAAGATGAGAGAAGTATATTATCTAAAAGACTTGCATACGGAGACTCTTGTCACTGATCATTATATGAAATTATAGACCTGCCGGATTTATGACGTTATGACCATTGACCCCAACTCAAAGTGTCTTTTTTAGTGCGTTTTTTTTTTTTTTTTTGGCCCGAGTCAAAGATTTCAGTCTTCAATCATTTCTTCTGCTTTATCCATAGTTATCCACATCAGTCATAATCACCGAAGTTGGAGGAGACAATAGCGGTGAAAAAAAGAAAAAACTTGCAAGAGAAGTTAAACTCTTATAATTACCATTTTTTCCGCCTAATGAATCACACATTATGTAACCTAATTGAGCCTTAAAAAATGGATTCGGTCTAATTTAACTTTGATCTACAGAGCGTTATCAACATTTTTTTTACGTCCAGAACAAATTTCAAGATGGGTCAGAAATTAAACTTTTTTTTAATAAAAAAAACCAAGTATTTGCACTAGCTTATACAATCAATCACCAATGATCATATGGAATACTTTCTCCGGTCCTAATTATAAGACCTAATTGACTAATTTAAAAAAATTAAAGAAAAAAAGTTATAGTTATTTGTAATAAATATGTGTTATTTTTCCTAAAATATCTTTACTAATCAAGTGTATTAGTTAAAACTACTATTGTTAGAAGGACTATCTTGAAAAAAACACATAAATATGAGAGACAAAATGGATTGGAATCTTATATTTAGGACCAAAATAAAAATTAAATGAGGTCTTAGATTAAGAACTGTAGGTAGTATTAAATAAGCCTGGAGTTTTTTTTTAATTACTATTAGATTTACTTGAGCTTACAAGCAACAAAATTAATACAATGCAAAGTTCGCTGCCTTTATATGAGAAATCAAGAGTTGAAATAAAATTTAATAAAAGCTCATTATAATTTAAAATACAGGTGAGAGAAAGGCAAAAAAAAAGAAGATTTTTGCAGCAAATCGGATGACTAAGCAAATCAGGCCTTGCTTATGAACTCCACGTCAAATAACAGGGTCGAATCAGGAGGGATGATGCATGAACCTACGTCACACAAATTAAAGTACTTTTCAGATATTATTTCCAATTAATTCAGATTAAAAATCTCCAATAAAAACTATAATGTGATGATGCAGAACAAGTCATAATGGATATAATGAATACAAAGAACCTGATGTAAATATCTATAGAGAAAGAGGAAAGGAAGTGGACTTGCCTCCTCTACAACCAGCACCTCTTGAGCCGTATGCAAGTTCTGGAGGAATTTTCAATGTTCGTTTGCCTCCTACACATACACAAACACAAATCATAAAATGGGTAATTGAAAAGTGAAAACCTTAGAAACTGAAGTTCAAAGGTCGAAACAGTACCTGTAAGCATGGGAGGTATTCCTTCGCCTCCTAATATCCCTTCATCCCATCCTTTGATCACCTGTTCGTTCACATTCATCATTCATCAGTATTAAATCTTTGTTCAAAATCCCCAATTTCAATCACCAATTCCCAGGATTCCACTTCATAACTCATACTCAGCTTCTGTGATCAAAATCTTAGAATACAGAACATGGACATGTGATAAGCCCAAATGAAGAGCCTAGCTTATTAAGAGGAAAAATCCTTTGAACTTTTAAACTCTATATTACTTGTGAGATTCTTCAACATGGGACTCATAACAGAACAAGAGAGCTCAATCCCAAAAGATTAGCCTGTTAGGATGAAAAACCTCTTAAACTTATAAACCCCGCAATGCTTATGAGATTCTCCAACGTGGGACTCATTAGAGGACATCCTCCGACTTACAACCCCGCAAATAATTTGGTGGTGCATTATGATATGTTCTGTTCCAGTGAAAACAGTAGGATGGAACAATGACATCAACATATTAGTATATGACTTCAATTTGTATTGATATATTCCTTTTTTTTCTGTATTTTGTTCATGAACGAACTATATTAGAAAACCCAATTAAAATATGAATTTACTCGATTATTAGAATAGATACCTCCCCAACGCCAACGCGAAATGTAAGAGGCTTGCCACGATTATAGCTGCTGTCGAAAATCTTCCCATTCTCCAATTTCCCAACATAATGAGCCTACCCAAACAAGAAACCACGTCGTTTTCAATTTTGCTGTAATTCATTGTAAACCCGAAGGAATAATGTGATTAGAAAACAGTAAGACCTAAATCATATTACAGATTACCTTAATGAGCTGCCCCTTAGCTGCTTGAGGACCATTTCCCACAACTTTATCACAGAAGGCGATGCCTGAAGCAGCCACTGTTAGTTCGCACGGAGCTGCTGATTCGGCCGCCACCGTGGCTTGTGGCAGCGAGTGAAGCGCAACATTGCAAAGGCCGAATCCGAAGGCAAGACCTATTATAGCCTCTCTTCGCTTGAAGTTATCGTCTGGGGTTTGCAAGGTTACTGAGGGATGATTTCCCGAGAATGGGACGAAATTGGATGGTTTTGTTGGAGAATCATTGTTTTGAATTCGAGAGAGGAAGCAGCTCGTACTGAATTTGGGTTTAGATCGGAAGCAAGTAGAGGCGGGAGATAGAGGAGAAGAATATGGCAACGTAATCATTTCCAGAAAAACAGAGCAAGCCTGTGCTTGGCTGCCGGGGATTATTCGTTTAGGACTCTGGACTTTGTGGTGGACGTTGCTTCTCCACGTACAATACTATCATAAGCTCTTTGGGTTGGGCCGCTTATTTCACACTG